TGTCATCAGAACGATCCCAGATAGAAAACAGTAGCAAAAACAGTGCAAGCTTGTATTGGTAATGCCAGCCAAAACCGAGGATCGCGAAAGGAAGAAACATGCGGTATACATGGGGTTGATCAAAGTCCATAGTCATTTATCCAGAATTGGATTGGGGTTACGCGGGCTCCGACAGAGAGGCTGCACAAACCAGATTGCCCTTATATGTTCGTCACCTTGACAACTACGTATCCATAACCGTTGAGACGACACCTACATGTTCTCAGGGTGGCGGCGGATCCCGATCCATTTCAAATTCAAATTGTGGCAATTATCAGGAGCAGGTTAAACTGCCCCTGAAACATGACAAATAAAATATCCCAGGCAGTCAATATTATTGGCTTGAAGCATGCCATCCAATCGGCTGTTGCGTTCAGCCTGATCGTGTTAGACTTGATAGCTTGCATGCTATTGATCACCTTGAATCGGATGGGGCCAGAATGGCGTTATCTTCGGACAGCAAAATTACTACATTATATATACATACATATCAGAAATCAGTTTCGCCTATTTCTGTATAATGACAGTCGTGTGGGTTTACCTAAGTATCATGCGATTGAAACTTGTAGAACTAACATAATTGGGACATATGTAAAAGGCGCTGCAATGAGTCCAGATTCCAGTTTATTGATGCTATCTATTCGAAATCTAAATGAGGGAGACAGCGAGACGCAATACAATGACATTCTGTACAGATGACATGTCAATGTCGAGCCAGATGAGTAACTTAACCCGGTTAAATTTTCCCCTAAAACGCCCAATTCGGTTCACCATGGAAAGCGTGCTCACTCATGGTTCGAAGATCGTATGGATACAGTTTTTCGGGGTAGAAGTATCTGAAACGCATGTAGCCCGTTCAATAGGTGGGAGTTTCCCAACAGTACACATCTTTTCAAGTTGATCTGCTCAATACTGAAGTGGCAAAAGTGCGCGTACTCATTTGAGAAAGCAGAATTTATGTGGTCCACACCCCGCCCCCCTCTCTGCTGATCATCACATACACTGAGAATTATGCCGAAAAATGGACGATACATGCCGCAGTGTGATTCAAGGGAAGTGTAATTTGAAGTCCAACTCCACTACTTGTGAGTAGTGCTGTGGGATAGGTCACTTTTTTAATGACCCGCTGTGTGTGATGAACAGGAGACGAGACGATATCCGCAGACACAAAGGCCTGCTGTTCAGTGATGGTACCCGGCAACCTGATCCCCGGGACTTGGAGTGGTGAACTACACAAGGCCTTGATAGGTCAGGCGTGGTATATAACCGGGCCTCGCAAAGTTGGGTGTCGGTGGCGGGGCTCGAACCTCGGACCACAGGGTCTAAGGCACACCTATGATAGCGGCTAAGCCAGTACGCCACCACCACTCTGTTGATTCGTTCAGTCTACCATACATTTAAAAATCACTGCACTTGAGTTTCGAGCTTAGTAGATCTTAGGACGGAACTTCAGCAACCCGTTCGATCGCGCACGCCTCCCAGTCAGGCCACACGCACGCTAGCAACGCTCCAGATAGGCTGAACCCGATTGGATGGTCACAGAACGTATCAGCCAATGTTTGTCCAATCGATCAATCGATATGGTGAGGACACAATCTGATTGTTTCTCGTATGCGTGACTTGTTCTATATATTTGCGTATCGGAATTTAATCGGAAAAACAACATACACGCTGACTTTGTCTCAATCTGTGTTCTCTCTCCACCTTACGTGTGGGGTTAAGTAAGAGTCGCTCGTGTTTTTTCGTATGTCCAGTCCGAACACAACAGTAGAATTCATCAGTGATATATTTTTAGTGACTCATTCAATGGATATCATAGAAGGCAACGTCGGCTCCCATACCTTTTAGATAGGATCAAGTGTGTTTTGGAGATCGTTTCACAGAAAACTAATTCCAACACTGTGTAACGTATTGTTCTCCGGATTGGGGTCGTGATGTCCGGGTTAAACTCCAGATGAAACTATCTGGTATTTTGTAAGCTTTTGTTCATTATTCTCATGTCACCGTTGTTGTCTGTTCTGTTCATTGTTCGTTTCACATTTGGGGATATAAAAAGTGAAAATTCATCTTGTAAAGAATTTAGTTCGATGTAATAACGGGGCTACTTGAAATGAACATGACACAGGTTGATTACGAATCGATGTGCCACCTGGTTTTGTCCAGCCTCAGTGCAATGAGAAGGTAAGAAGTCGTCTTCGAGGCAACAGAACTACGGTAATTATGCACACCACAAATACAGTCGTCAATAAGTCGTCAATAATGCTCATTGCCGAACCATCTTCGGACAATGATCCACGTTTCGATCAATTTAGACGTTCCTGCTACGTCGCCGACAGCTCCGAACATTAGTATTTTGAACCGTACTTTCGCTGTGTTGATCCGTAATGAATTCTATTGCACCTGTTCTTCGATAGGGACATCTTTTTCCGTCAAACGGTTTTTCGATTTCGTGTCTGTTGTTTGTTTGACCAGTTTCGCTTGTTTGGATTTTTCCCACCGAATCGATTGCGATTTGTATCTCTGTTTCTGCGGTAATTTATCCCACATGAGAACTAGTATATAGTTAGGATATCTCAACGATGCAAACCCGATGACCGCTGGAACCCTAAGAATCAAGGCTGGTGGGTTCCATTATTTATGTTGTTTTTGCTTTTAGAGCTAAGCACAGCCAATTTGGAACGGGTAATTTCCGCAGAACATTGACGGAATAAATTTATATTTATATGCTTGTAATTAGTAGTAAATGAGTAACTGGACAAATTTATATGATGATGGACATTTGAACAGTGAATCAAAATCGATATCACTGTGATAAAAGCATTTGAGTGTGACTGGTAGTTCTTTTAATCTAAGATNNNCCCCCCCCCCTCGGGTACTTGCATAGATGACCAGTACTCATATCATTTCACGTCACTCTTTAGTGTTCAAATGAGTTCCATTTTAGAGGAAACCAAATTATGGCTAAAATTTGGTCATTCGGTATAGTGCACTGTCCCATTGGCTCCAGGGACTAAGTGCAATTATACCAGGACTAAGTCTAGACCTCCCTAGGTCTAAATCTTCCTGACACCCGAACGATCGCTCTGATACCTAATTACTATTGGGTTGTCAGAACGAAATTGCGAGTTATACTGTATACAAAAAAACCTAAACGGTAACTTCAGTATCTGAGCATCTGGACACGGCTCCCCGGAGTTATGAATTGGTTGGAAAATTTCAGAACCTGATTACTTGTTACATGAGAGTAGTTGAGGATAGGACTTGATTACTTATGGGATTCTTTACGTGAATAAAACTTGAGCTTAGTAGACAGTCGGTCAGCTGAAGTCAGTCAGTCAATAATTTAGTCAATCAGTACATTCATGCACAGTATTTCTGATCAGATCTATCTAAGACAATCAAGAGTCAAATGAAAAACCGGGATAAAGTATCAAAAATTTGAATCGCGCAGCGAAGAAGTTGATTATTTCACTGCCAGTTGATGTGCGTGCGTGATCACGTGAACCGTTCGTGATTCAAACAAACCATTCATACACGGAATAACTGCACATCAGTGTTTCATCGTCTTTCCGAAATTTGATCACGTGTAAGTGCACGCGACCGGAACGCACTAATTCTCACTTCAAAAACAGACGAAAATGCTTGATAGGAACATTAATCAACGGTGCTGATGTGTAAATTGAAAGGATTCACAACCCTTTGAACGATCAACATTAACAGGAAGAAAATTAAAATGTGAGTTTTATATAAATTGTTTGAAAATGCTTAGGCAGATAGTATTTTAGGGAAAAGAATATGAAACGTTTCAACTGTTCCCCGCTGTTAGAGAAAAACGACGCATTCACATATTCTGAGTGACAGATAAAAAAAA